TACTAGCGACATCTAGGGCCAAAGTGGCGTGCTATCCGGTACAGTATACCTTCAGGCGCCCACTGCTAGCGACATCTATGGGCCGAGATTGCGTGCCATCCGGTACAGTATATCTTCAGGCGCCCACTACTAGCGACATCTTTGGAGAGGAATGTTGGAACCACGATGAACGAGTAGCGACGTTGTCGGCGACTTGCAAGTTGCGAGTATCGATACATGTTTTTTTTTGCAAATTTTGATGAATTAATAAACGAGCGAGTCGGTTGATTTGTAGTTTAACGGAAAAGCCACGGTATGAGTAGACAGACCCAGTGGTGCTTGCTTATTGCTTATATCAAGGGGCGTTTCTTCAATGATACATTCTTTCAAAATGATTATTGAAGGTCCCGCCGAGATTTGAACTCGGATCGCAGGATTCAGAGTCCTGAGTGCTAACCGTTACACCACGGGGCCGATAATCTGAAGTGGGGAGGGGGTATAAAATGAATTTTTCTCCTCATGCAGTGTCTGAAAATAGTGAAATATTGACGTTTTCCTGTCACCCCTCGTCACGCCCCTCTCTCCCTCTCCGGCTCTCTCCAGCTCGGAGGAGGAGGTAATATCGCGGGTGAACAGCACACAGTACGGCCTCTGCGCCTCCGTATGGAGTTCCAGCCTGTCCACTGTGCACCGGGTGTCGGAGCAGCTCCAGGTCAGTCACGTGACCAGATGGGAGGGGGGGTCGGGTGGGGGGGGGGGAGTGCTTCTGTGGCAACCCTATCTACTGAAATGAGCTAGCTGACTCTGCTTGTTTTATGTTTGCTTTGATTTGTGTTATGTTTGCTTTTATGGCTTTTGTCTCTTTTAGTTGGGTACTCGTTTTTTTTTGCTACTTTGCCTCTTTCTATCTTTGTTGTGTCCTTAATTCGCAGCTTTGTTGTTGCATCTATTTTCCCCGTATATTACATCACACTTGATAAATAAGAGCCACGAATGTTGCCTTGTTACATGCACCCTTCAATCAGGATTTCAGTAGCTGTCATCTCAAGAGCGGGTGTCACTGTAACGTTTTGTCAATTGCAGTTTCTGTACATAGCAATAAAAGCACGATACTGGTTTACTAGCTTTGATATCCACAACTTCAGAATATTTGTACCGTTTTTTATTCCCTATTGACCAGTACTCATCTTCTGATGGCAATCGAAGCAAAAAGAAAAAAGAAAAGCATAAAAAATTTAAATTTACTCCGAGATAAAATCTTGAAGTTTAACCCGCGCCCTGCTGGGGGGGGGGGGTATTTGAACACCCCCCTTGTGGTTTTTCGTGAATATCTCAAAAACGGCGGCGCGGTTTTTGGTACACCTTATCATGCATCTATTCTACACATGTTGTGAAAATTTCAGACCAAGGTCATTCAAGGTCAGGTCACCAGGTCACTTGAAGTGACCTCACCTCATAAAAAGTTTCAATGTCTGTCATAGCTACACCGAGTGACCGATCGCTTTGAAACTTTCAGCGATTGCTAAGAACAATAGCATGTACAAAATGCATATCTCAGAATTTTGATATCGATGACCTAAGGTCAGGTCAATTTTGCGACCTCCCCATTATAAGTCAATGGGAGAAAATTGAAATGCGCCTCTTTTGGACGAAAGACATTATAAACACTCCCAAACACCGAATTACAAGTGGTTTAGACACACTGAACATGAAAATGGTGTCCGTGACCCTTGTTTATGCCCTGAGGTCATCTTAGGTCACGAATGGTATCTAACAGTTTTTCGCAAATAACTTTTGATAGAGGCATGCTAGAGCGATGAAAATGCCTTAGATGTGTTCAGCTAGACGATACGCATCGACTGATATGCAACATGACCCTTTCCGGTCAGGTCATGACCTTGAGTTAAATTTTCAAGTTGACCTTTCAAGGTCAAGTTATAGTTCATTCGATGCGTCTTGACGAGAGGAACACGATGCTGGTAAAAGTAAGCTCGTAGAAGGCTTGGGTCAAAAGTTATTGCAGAAAAACTGTTTCCGAAAAAATCGGCTATTTTTGCAGTTTTGCCCCCTGCAGGCAAAACCGTTGACGATAGGTCAAATCTGAGAGAATTACTCAGAAAGGGCGTTAATAGGGCTATCAAATGCGCTTTTCCGCGGCGCTGTAGCTCTATTGGTTCCCGAGTTACGCGTTGGCTTCTTGGAAATTTTCGACATTCGACCTGGAAATCGGCGAAATTTTGCCTTCAATGACCTCTGGTGACCTGACCTTTGACCTGACCAAAAAAATTGACCGAACTGATTTCGTCATTATTTTTGACGCTCTTTCGAACGCCGCCTTCCGCGTATCGCTTCGTGGCCCAGGAGCCGAGTTACAAGGGGGGGGGGGGGTGTTCAAACACCCCCCCCCCCCAGCAGGGCGTGGAAATCCAGGACCCCCAGCCGGGCGCGGGTTAACATCTACGGATTCTATTGGTATTTGCACTTAGCAGTTACAACATTCAGCGTATTGAGTCGCATTTGTTTCAACAGCAATACCGCCACATAATCCTTTGCCTTCTGTAGCTTTTTATCTTTATCCGCTAGTCGCTTGCACCGCTCTTCCCCTGTGCACCTCTCTCGCTAGTAGCGCATGACCTTGACCTCTGACCTGACATGACCTCAGGTGGGCACTGTGTGGAACAACTGCTGGCTGGTGCGCAGTCTGGACATGCCGTTCGGAGGAATCAAGCTCTCCGGCATCGGCGCCGAGTCGACTCGAGAGAGCATAGAGTTCTACACCAACTGGAAAACCGTCTGCGTCAAGTTCTAAGAGGAAGAAGGCTAGAAGGCTTTTATAGGCTGGAGGCTAGGCGGCTTCTGAAAGCTATAAGCTAGGCGATTTGTGGGAGGCTGGGAGGAAGTGGACGGTTTCTGAGAGACACTTTCTGGTCGCTTTCAGGAAATTGAAATCTGGTAGGTACGGTTTCCGGAAGCTTGAACTTGAAAGTTCTGGGAGATTTTTCGACGTGCCTACGTGCAATGCTTGAGAAGAATTGTCTTATCTTTTATAGTCCGGGCTGTTCATGAAAGACACATCAGGGGTTTTGTACGGGTTTATTATTGGGATTAGTTAGACTCGTTCCAAGATTACAACTTTTGCTCCTGATAGAGTATTCTAAACGAAGTGGTGTTTATATAATGTATGTATAGTGTTGCGTTTCTTGGTTTACAGATCTATCTCTTTACGCGTAAAGTGCATGGGTCTATCGGCGTAATTTTGTAAGCTTACGGCATTTGGTAAATAAAATACAATTTAACAGTTTTGAATGACCTCGATGAATTACAAGTCACCAATAAAATAAATGCGCCCTAAATTCTTCTTATTCCACCTTTTTGTGAGCCAGAAACATGATCCAAAACACGGAATTCGACGAACCTTCTCCGACTTATCCACAAGCAAATGCGTGCTTTTCCAGGACAGTATACGATAATATTCCTTCCTTATATGCCGCCGATCACCATTTTGGTAAGAGAGCGTTCCAAAACTGCTCCACCTCAATGAATAATAGGATGCCTCGATTAGCGAGTTTGCGGCCGTGTTTTCCTAAGTCACCGTCACCGGTACCCATTGGCTTTGTCCTTCACAAAGCGTTTTACTATGAATCATCACCAACGAACCGTCTGTAATTCGCCATACGGATTGCTCATCATTTGACGTCAGGGGCTTCTGGAATTACTCGTATGAACAAACGCGCTTCGCTTCCTTTCTGGCTTCCTTTTACGGAGACAGATATGTTTCCTCATTTCCTGCGAGGGAAGCATGATGGGAGATACTTCCGCTTTTGAGGAGACGAGACGGATCTGAACTGAACGCACTCCGTGGTACTGGAAGGCATTACCGGACACAGAAGTGGAAGTGGTTTTTGCTAGAAGATGGTTTGGGAAATTCTGTCACGAGTCGGCATGCAAATATGAGTCAGAGTGGAGATGGTGGACTAAAATAGCTCAAATGTTTTCCAACTTTTGTGACATAGCTTAATGTCAGTGTTTGCTGGCTTAAATCTTTCACATTGCTATTTTACACATCTGGCAAAATGTGTAAGTACCAAACGAAAACTTATTTGAACGAATTTTATACCTGCCATGCTTCAACAAAAAAGAGCTCGAGTACTCGCGAACGGAACATTTGTCTTCGTTGCTTTAGCCGTCTTATTACCATAAAGAAGTTTCACTTGACTAGATCGCCGAGCAAAATGAAACCGTAAATACAGTTAGGGTAGCACCTTGCCTTAAATTCTCGAGAATTTCGTGTTGCAATGACCCAAAAGCCAATCTCTCAATTATGCCAAATTGTCTCCAAGAATAGTCAGATCTGTCTCTCAATATATAGTCGACACAAGACGTCACGTATCTTGTCTTTTTGGTATGAATCGTTACGTCCCAACAATTATTCCACTAACACATGCGACGGCATTTCTCGTTATTTGGTATATGTACCGTCTGTCAGAATAAATAAACACAACTACGTAAATAGCAAGCACTTTCCCGAAGTGGTCAGTTTCTGGCGCCTTCAGCTCCTTGTTGATCCTTTCCGATCCATTGACCATCATTTATAACAGCCGTTGAAGAAATATTTACATTCGACAGTCTCGTGCTCTTTGATCGTGAGTTATTGCGTTGCGCAATGCAGGGGTTATAGCCCTACATACACAAATTCCGGATCCGAGATCTGTGTCACTCCGTTCCTTATTAAAGGCCGGATATACCAAATACCGACCGTCCAGATGCCTGCTGTATGAATCCACTCCATGGCGTGTCCGAGAATCGCTGATCGTTCATCGATAGCCCTTTTGCGAACGCCGCACTCACGCAATGTGACTCTTCACTGAGCCGCCCCCCCCCCTCCCTCCCCCCAGTGAGGCCCGTCTGGTCGCGTTTTGTGGACCGACACAGCACCTAATTCTGTTTATTTATACTGGATTCCCGAAGCCTGTTTGGAATGGCCCGGGCTGGGTAGTCTGGGTAGTCTGAACAGACCGGACAGTCTCAGCAGTGGCGGCGGCGGCGGCGGCGGCGGCGGGAGCGGCGGGAGCGATACAGTAGTAGCACCGACCGTCGGTTTTCCTGCGACCACAGCGGCGGCGGTGGCGGCGGTCGTCGCGAGGGGGCGCTGTGTGTGCTGGTGTACCCTCCTCCACACCGCGGTGTCGTCCTCAAGTCGTCAGTCAGTCGTACTCCGCCAGCGGAGCGGGAGGGAGCAGAGGAGCGCTGGACTAGCATAGCATCGGCTCGACATCGATCAGCGATCAGAGAGTCGTGTTGAACCAACATAACCCCTGCTCGACATAGCGGATCTGTTCGACAACGCATCGAATCGTTTTGAACCAGCACGGCTGGACATAGCGCATCGGTTCGACATAGCCCCGGTTCGACATAGCCCCGGTTCGAGCGGCCCCGGTTCGAACGGCCTCAGTTGAAACCCAACCAGTTGTGCCAGTGGAGTGTGGTGTGCTGTTTGCATGTGGAGCTCATAGCGGGTCGGTCGGTCAGTGCGCGGTTTGGTGCCGAATACCGAACGGTTCCCGGTGAGACTTCCTGGTGCCACTGGTGCCGCTGGTGGTTGGTGAGGAGGATTGGTGAACTCTGGAGTTATGAAGGTGTTGCTGGTGTCAGTGCTGCTCACGCAGTTGTTGGTGATCACATCGGAACCAATTTCAACGGTGAGTACTGGACAGTTTTCGGGGGAATATTCGTGGTGTGAATGTATTTGCTTCGTATGGGCTGTTTGGGTTCTGAATTCGTCCTCATTCTTTGTCCCGATGTAGGATGTAAACGTTGGGTCCCGATGTAGAATATAACCTGATGTTAGTGATAAAAGAACGTCTAAAGGCCTGGCAAGCCGGACTTTTACAGTGAGTGATGTGCTTTTTGCCATAAATATCCACACCCTATATATGGCCTTGATCCACACTCTACAGTTCCACTTCTGACGAAGGTCCTGCGTCGTTTTCAGTGTTACCAGCTGATTCAGATTGTTTTTATGTAGATGCCACGTGATGTGTTTCAGACGTTACCAACGTTTATGGAATGGTATGTTACGTTTCCCAACCGCGAAAGTTTAATCCAGGGTAAATGAAGGCTACTTCCACACATGCGTGCTAGTTTCGAATATTTTACACCCAATAGCTTCTACAAAAGTGTGTCATGCCTCCTTCGCCCGACAACTTTTTTCCATAAAGCAATACGAACTACTGTAACTTTCCGTCGCACTTGTTTTTTCTCGGATATGGCGATTTCTTGGAAAAGATGTGTAACACACACCATGAATAAGGCTAGAAACTCAACTACAGTGCTGTTCCATCACCCTAGAAAACTGTTGAACCTTGATACGCTTGGAACAAAATAAGCAACGATGCACAAGCAGCTATTTACCAAAAACTTCAAACGTAACACTACTGCACAGTATGCATTTGCACAAGCGTGCCAGTTTTAAGCACCCAGTAACCGTCAATGGGCTCACTCGTGCAGTGCCCACTCTCGTTACAGTATGTGACATGCACTGCCGAATTCAGCTCCCCGCATATTCTGTCCGTTATTTACAAGTCTGATACGTTCCTCGCCCTTCAGCTCTGAGTACCACAATGCCATCAGATAGGGGTGCCTACACCTGCAGAGTCACGCGCTGTGATGCAACGGCATTTTATCGTGTAACGACACTCTTGCGTGTCGTTACTGTGCTGATTTACATTGGTGCTGGAATATAGGTCGAATATGGTGCTTTTCTTATGTCGAATGGTAAAGGTACTAGGGTTACCCGCGTGCTCCGCAACGCGAAGGGGGGATTTTTTTTACCCGTGGGTATTGGGTTGGTCTGTGTCGATTTGGTTGGTAGATATCCATTTCGTTCGATTGCTTTTTGACGGCCAAGCATTTTGTAAGAAAACAAAAAGATACATCGCATCGAGGTGCCCGTGTCGTATTATCATGCCTTCTACTTTAGAATGAATCGAAAACTGGCGTGAAGTCTTTTGAGGGCCATCGATGTATTTCGCTAAAAATGGCAATGTAATGGTTTGGAACATTTACATTTTTAAGAATACTGTTGCTAATCTGCAAAAATGAAGAGTGAATATTGGACAGAATTGAATGTTCTTTCCAACGGTGCCATTTTTATTGCCAGATATATCAGGTCAAGGAGCAAAACCCGTGTGATTAATAAAGTGGCACAAAATTGACAAACACCATTTTCTTCCGTGATTTGTACCACCTTGATTTGGATCAATCAGCTTTTCACAATTTTTCCATGAGAGGCGGTACATTTCTCTTGCCTATAGGCGTTGGTTCAACTCGCTCCGTCTGACGGTCACCTAAAAATAAATGTAATCCCAAAATCCGTCAAAAACCGCAATTTTTCCAATAAAAGTGCCCTCCCCGGTGCACGTGGCGCGTGCTATCCTCTGCATTGCACACCATTCAATAGCCCGTTCAATTCTGTACACGATGCTGTTTTTCCCGTGCCGGTCGGATCCCTGGTCACCAAGATATTGCACGGGGACTGGACCCGTGTCGGCCAAAATTAGCCGTTTTCGCCCGATTTCGCACGCCGATTTATACATGTAAAGTCTATGACGCGAATTTGCACTTTTTGGGCACGCGCCACGCGCTCACTAACGACCCGATCGAGCTGAGACCCCTCAAAGGCACGTCGCACATCCTTGATCTATGAGTTGTGCAAATTTCATCGGGCTAGGTGCAACGGTCTGGCCTGTAGTCCACGCAAAGCACCACCAAGTCGGGACCTCGGTAACGGACAGACGCACCCTCCTCAAATAGTAATATAGATTGTGTTCTCTCTAAAAGTTTGACTGCTCGTTTTTCGTCGGCGTTGTTGTTTAGGAATGTTTTTTATGATAACTTTGTGATTTATTTTAAAAAGGCCATTCGTGCAACAAATAACTTCAGAATTTGTTATTGGGCCGTTTTTCCCTTTAGCTGACTTTCCCACACTTGAAATAATAGCTGAATAAGTGTGTGCAATGGCATGCAATATTGATGTTATGGGGCAATCAGACCCCATGTAGCTATGCGTGATGATCATTTCACGTCATTCCTTTGGCCTGGTTATGAGTTATGTACCTCTCCCATAAAACCCACAGCCCACACATGAAGCCCCGTCTGAGTTATCGTATAGAAGACGACCCGAAGCGCAGTGTCGCCCCCCCCCCCCGCCCGCTGCCGGAAAGTGGTCGTTTTCCTGTGATTGTTGCGCGCAATGAGGAGGAAAGACGCGGGGCAGAGGAGGTATAGACCGCGGCGCATCGCGTCTAATTCCCAGGGTGCACCGGCGGTCACTGCAGACGGTTTTATGGAACCGTTCTATTTGGTGTTTGAGTTTCCTGACGGGAATCGATACTATGTAATGAATTTTCATGGATGGTTGGAAGATGAGTCAATTTTGACGAAATTGTCCTGGAATTCACATGTTCGTGTGGTTAAGTAATTTCAGAAGCAAGTTTTGCTGTGCGATATGTACAGAATAAATTACCTTTGCGTATACATATTTGCTTGGCGTTGCCTCTGCCATTGGTGTTAGGCTGCTTGGATGGCTTCAGACTCAGACTAGTTCAGACTTCAGACACATTGTGGTAAGAGCTTATTTTATGAATGCTCTCCTCCGTTTTGATTTTGGTACCATCTAAATTAACCCGCGCCCTGCTGGGGGTCCTGGATTTCCACGCCCTGCTGGGGGGGGGGGGGGTGTTTGAACACCCCCCCCCCTTCTAACTCGGCTCCTGGGCCACGTAGCGATACGCGGAAGGCGGCGTTCGAAAGAGCGTCAAAAATAATGAGGAAATCACTTCGGTCAATTTTTTGGTCAGGTCAAAGGTCAGGTCACCAGAGGTCATTGAAGGCAAAATTTCGCCGATTTCCAGGTCGAATGTCGAAAATTTCCAAGAAGCCAACGCATAACTCGGGAACCAATAGAGCTACAGCGCCGCGGAAAAGCGCATTCGATAGCCCTATTAACGCCCTTTCTGAGTAATTCTCTCAGATTTGACCTACCGTCAACGGTTTTGCCTGCAGGGGGCAAAAACTGCAAAAATAGCCGATTTTTTCGGAAACAGTTTTTCTGCAATAACTTTTGACCCAAGCCTTGTACGAGCTTACTTTTACCGGCATCGTGTTCCTCTCGTCAAGACGCATCGAATGAACTATAACTTGACCTTGAAAGGTCAACTTGAAAATTTGACCTCAGGTCAAGGTCATGACCTGACCGGAAAGGGTCATGTTGCATATCAGTCGATCCGTATCGTCGAGCTGAACACATGTAAGGCGTTTTCATCGCTCTAGCATGCCTCTATCAAAAGTTATTTGCGAAAAACTGTTAGATACCATTCGTGACCTAAGATGACCTCAGGGCATAAACAGGGGTCACGGACACCATTTTCATGTTCAGTGTGTCTAAACCACTTGTAATTCAGTGTTTGGGAGTGTTTATAATGTCTTTCGTCCAAAAGAGGCGCATTTCAATTTTCTCCCATTGACTTAGCCCTCGCCCGTAAACGGCGATCTGCCACCTTCGCCCATGCAGGGGGGGGGGGGGGTTGGTGCGACCCCCCCCTTGGCGTTTGAAAACGGAGCGTCGTAGAGCTTAGCGGAAAAGACCATCGGATTGCTCTCGCCAAGATCTCGCGATTGGTGGTATATTTTTTGGTCCTAGGTCAACATTTGACCTACTTTTGACCGGTCAAAGGTCAAATTTTCGGAAAAATAGACTTTTTTCAACTTTCCGCGGCGATTGCGGCAAAAAGGTAGGAGATATCGACTTGAAACCTTCACTATCGTGTTCCTTGATCAATTCTCTATCGTTTGGTATGTATTTCGTTTCCCTAGCTCTAAAAATGGCGCGTTGGGAGCGCCGGAAGTCGGCAAGGTCACAGTCGGCGGCAGAAATTCGAAAAATCAAAATTTAAATTTTTGAAATCTGATTGTATTTTTGGATTTTGGAGGTCCATTTGCTCCCTATAGAAGCTAATATTGCTGCATATTCCCATTGAGCTGACAAGAATTAGCAAAATAGTGGTTCGGGCGCTTTTCAAAAATAGTACCGGACGCTGTTCCTCTTGTGACGTCATAGCTCCGTGACCTGACCTGACCTGGTCAAGTTTCTTATACCATATGATAGCCAATACTTGCCCCAACATGCATGGGAAGTTTCATCACGATCCATCAACCGATGTCCGTACCACCGGCAGGAAACCTCGGGCGTTGGCACTCAGTTTGTAAAAATCCGGCCGGAGGCTGTTCCCTTTGTGACGTCATAACTCCGTGACCTGACATGACCCGGTCAAATTTTTTTTGATCAAAAGATGCGCAAGGCTTGCCCCATAAGGTACCCAAAATTTGGCGGCGCTGCGCGCCGCCGTTTTTACACTATTTCCGAAAAACCTCAGGGGGGGGGGGGGGGGTTGCACCAACCCCCCCCTACATGGGCGAGGGTTATAATGGGGAGGTCGCAAAATTGACCTGACCTTAGGTCATCGATATCAAAATTCTGAGATATACATTTTGTACATGCTATTGCTCTTAGCAATCGCTGAAAGTTTCAAAGCGATCGGTCACTCGGTGTAGCTATGACAGACATTGAAACTTTTTATGAGGTGAGGTCACTTCAAGTGACCTGGTGACCTGACCTTGAATGACCTTGGTCTGAAATTTTCACAACATGTGTAGAATTGATGTATGATAAGGTGTACCAAAAACGGCGGCGCTCCGCGCCGCCGTTTTTGAGATATTCGCGAAAAACCACAAGGGGGGGGGGTGTTCAAACACCCCCCCAGCAGGGCGCGGGTTAACTGTGAAATCCAAATTAGGATCTCAGTCACGTCTCAGCGCTCAATGCCACGTGACGGTCGTCCTCGAGTGCCCCTGTCCTATGGAATCCGATATTGTGGTCGGATATGCATATGCGTAACGAACGCATCAGATGTTGCGCTATTGCGTAATTGCGCTTTGAGTGCGTTCACACTGGTGCCTATGTGGAAATCGGACATTTGAGCTAAAGCCTCGGCATAGTGTGTAAGTTTCGTATCACTGCTGGCGCTTGTGAACCTCAGTTGAAATTTGCAAATTTGTTCTACTCAGGGACGTAGCCAGGGGAGGGGGCACGGGGGCATGGTCCCCCTGAAGGAAATTTTGTTTTTAATAAAAAATAAAAATGAATAACAACAGCTGGACCACACCCCAAAAATGGTGGGCCATACCTATCCGAGGAGTTTTCCTTTTTTGAAGGGGGTACGACACTGGGCCGCGACCTCTAACCCTTCCCTAAGCAAAATGCTGGCTACGTCCCTGTTTCTACTGCCTGGAACTTTTTTTAGCTTTGTCGTGTTGTCATCAATAGGTACAGAGAAGAAGCAGCATATAATGAAATGTCATACATTGTGATGTTTGTTTTCATGAAAGGTCAAAACCTTATAGCATGCAGCCCGAAATCAAAATCATCAAATTGTGTAACAAACGAAATAAGTTTTAGTAACATACCTGCTATGAAATATTGCTGTCAAGACGTTACTGTTACGCTAGCGTCCTTGTCAACCTGCTTAGGCTGTCAACTGTCCCGTCCCTACCTACCATTGAATAGATCCTGAATATAAATGAGTCCATCTGCAAGGGAACTGCATAAACTCGTATATTTATACGGCACTTGACTGGAAGTCAAGGTACATGTCTCGAGCAGCATAAATGACTGAGTCGCTATCACTCTTGATAGTACGGAGGTTGGATTTTCTGTCATATTTGCACTTAACATATCGCTGAAAATAATGGTCATGGAATACAATTTACGTCTATTTGGACAAAAGAAATAAAAGCGCTGAGGTCGTAGTAGCTTCTTACCTCAGTGATTTTGATGGATGTGTCAAAGACTTTTCACACCCAACGACGCTCTTACAACAGTTCTTCGACGCTCTTCAATTCTCTCCTTCCTCTCTTTCACTCTCGCTACTCGCTGTTCCCCTGCCCCCCCCTCCCTGTTCCTTACTCCCCCATTCCCTCATGCATGCCCTTATAAAGACAGCGAGCCTGATCCGGGCACCACCACTGTCACTGGTGGAAATCACTATCACCACTGCGACCGGTCACCTTATGTGGAAGTCCAACAGCGTCGGTCGGTCTGTCGATCTGTCGGTCTGTCAGTTGGTCAGTCGGTCTGTCGGTTACGTTTGGTCATTTGCATACAACCTTGAGCGGACGACTTCGTTTGCATTGGTCTAGAGATGGACAGTAGTTTCAGGCTCTAGGTCGATGGGATGAAGGGTTATGAATGAAGGACGTTTATTGCCATGAGATGTTGATATGAAGGATGGGGTCAGTTAGGAAAAACAGGGAGCTGAATGTGATGGGGAATCATTTATGACATGATTTGGTTTCTGTGGAAAATTGAAAGGAGATGCTGAAGATGTAATGGTATGCTAGGGTACTTGCATATGCATTGACGCTAACGTTTGCTCGTAACACTTGAAACGCCTTGAAATAACACACATGGACTTACATTGGCCGCAATAAGTTGTTTTTATAGAATGAATGTTTTATACTGCGTTTAATTGTCTTTAGCTTTCGTCGCATCGCGGAAGTTTATGGCGTTCGCCTGGAACCTGATGTACAGCTAAGACTTAGTGAAACGCTCCTAAATGGATGCACTACTCTGTATAATTAGGGGATCGAAGGCTGATTAGATACAGCTGAAATGTATTGCAGTGTCTGTTATAAAACTGGTTCGACTATGAATTGTACTTAACTTAGTTAACCAATGGACTCTAATGTTAAGTAGGTATGAGAAGGATGATTATCCAATATCCAGTTACTTAATTGCGTATCTGCATGTCACACAGTAGGTATATTTATTTATTTAACCTTTCCAGTTTCAATGGCGAGTTTGGTCACAATGAAACATTATCATTCAGCCGAAATCGAATCAACATTGCTTCTTCCCTGCTAGTATACCAGTAAATTCATGACGAGAATCCTTTAGTTAACTTGTGTTTGTTAGCTCTGTCTCAAGTCCAGTATAAAAGTGTGTAAAAGACCCCAGTTACCATTCGCTGCGTACCTTTACACAAGTGCCTTGCTTTGGCTGTATCGGGTGCTATGTCGTTGTCAATAAAACAAAGAAAAAAAACCTGTATGTAGGTCGTTTCAGTTGCACGTATTACATGTCAGTGTCATGCATGCACTGCCTTTGATCAGCATCATATCACAACCAAGAGAAAAATGTTCCTAAACTTATATTGAGACGGGTTACACAGCACATTGGGTGGACGCGTTTCGTCTAAATGACTTTTTCGACACCCTCTCGGAAATTAAAACAATACAAACACAATTTCCGAGAGGGTGTCGAAAAAGTCATTTAGACGAAACGCGTCCACCCAATGTGCTGTGTAACCCGTCTCAATATATATATTTGTCTATTACTACTCAACGTTCCTAAACTTCTTGACAAACGTCTTCTTAAGAAAGACCAGTGCGCATCTGAGCTCGAATCACAACATGACTCATTAGTTATTGTTGAAGCGCAGAATGCATGGAGTTTTATCAGAGCCGTCAAACGCAGTGGTGCGTTCATTTGGTTGCATTCATGTTAGGTACGTATATTCCGTATATCTATACAGAAGATCAGCTCACAGGGTAGATAGTATTGTAACATCCGTTATTTGTAAAACCGCTACCGTGGGAAAGCTTCCTATGGCTGTTAAATGTAACCTTGCTTTAGGTCTGTTACCGACTGGTTTTGTCATTGTTTCATTGTTACAGACAACGATGTGTTTTGCTCCGCAATTTAGTGCCGGTTCCATTGAAGGAAACAATGCTTCATATTGAAGTGGCACCACGTAAGCCAATGGCACAGTAGCTTTTGCTCGCATTTTTTCATGTTTAACATGCCGCTTTATTAAATAAAAAAAAAATAAAGACGAAAATTGGCCACCAAGCACGCATTTAGTTCGTTCATTACAGCCTAGTTATGCACCTGCTCATGGCTTTCGATACCTTCCCTGGAGCTGGGTGTGAATTAGTGTGAGTTTGATGTCAATTTAATTAACCTCACCGCGTTAGTGGCTGTCTCACTTTTGTCTATCATACTTTTTCTGTGAGTCGTGGTATGTGACTCGTGATCCGGTATGTCCCGTGATCTCCCGTGGTATTTGACCCGTGAGCCGTGATCGTCCCGTAATCGCTTAATACGTGATTGCCCCATGATGCCAGCATAGCATCCAACCAAAACCACCCAACCACCAAACTAACTGACTCACAATGCTATAGTTGATGTTGTTGAGCTGGGACAGTGGTATTGTTCTTGGTAAAAATTGTTCAGGACACTAGTTTTTTATTGGTAGCTTTCGATAAAAGTAAAAAAGCGAAAAAATGATCCTCCAGATTTTTTATTTTATTTCTGTGTTCGTCTTTTATGTGTATTTTTAGTGCTTTAGATAGACAGGCTGATGAAGGAAGACGGATGTCTTCCGAAAGCTACCAATAAAAAAACAAAGCTGGTGTCCTGAACAATATTTACCAAGAACAATAACTGACTCACAAACTAACCAAAGCTCGACTGTTCTCCGCCAGCTGCTGTTTCCCGATGACCCGGAGTTTCCGGCCTACAAGGAGCACCTCACCACCACTACCCGACGGCCGGTGAGGGTGCACAATGGTCGACAACAGAAAAAGAACAGAATCAACGGGTAAGTGGACACATAAGGAATCAAACCGAATGTTGTAAGTGGGAATTATTTGACTAATGCATCGATAAAGGCTTGTTGGAAGATGATGCCTTATTTTGAAATGGCGCAACATATTTGTAACGCTGATCGCACGATCATAACTGTAGGAAATGTAATAACTGAATAGCCAACTCAGGCATATTGAAGCAATGCTAAGTTAGATATTTTCAAAAATATTTGTAAAAAATGAGTGATCATTACGACAGAGTGGACGTCAAAGCCTTCCCTCAGTTTGTTTATATTGAGGTTACGCAATTAGCTGTACGAGATAACTCTTCTACGTTGAATATTTCACAAATGTCTCACAAACTGATGGAATTCCTCCGTCTTTTACCAGTATATCTCAGACGGCTCGGTCGTCACGTTTTCGCCCCGATCCAAACGCCAAGAAGCAGCTCACAGACGTCACCTCGTACCGGCAGGCGCGACGGCAGTTCCGGTAAGGCACCCAGCTTCCGGTGCAGCTTCCGGTACACTTCCGGTCGAACTTTGTCTGACTTCCGGTGTGCTCTCAGTGCGCTCTGGTGATGGCTGTTTTGTGTCGAATTGGCAGCATTTGGTGCGCATTTGCGAGTTGCGTGTTGTAAGCTTCCCAGTGTCTTGCACTTCTCTGTTGGTAATTGATAGTTATTTGAGCAGTTTTGTCACTTTTTCTTAGGTCAACCTCAAGATAAGTTTTAGATAGCAACAAAAACGATCGCGTTTCGCGTAACTTTACTGTTCATTGTAGTTCGCTTCATGCAATCTCGCATGACCGCGATCCAGATGCTATGCAAACATTCTCTTACCGAATCAAGTCGCCTAGCAACATGCGGTTGATTGCAACTCCAGTGGGTTGCGTGAACACGTATTACTAGTTAAGTCCAATGGACTAGAATACGGAGTACGGACTAAGGTCATTCCATGGTTCGAAACTCAATGGACTGTCTCACTCGCATGCATCGTCCATTGGACCTGTTAAACCTTTTCAGGTATGATCGCCCATCTTTAGGCATGACCGATGACCCAATTCATCGTATGACCAATGACCGTATATCTTTCTCTCCACCCTCAGGTATGACCGGCGGGATCCGCAGAGTTTCGACGACACCTCACTGGTGGGGGTGCTCCCCCCTAGAAGGGGAGGCTCGTCCCGTGCCCCTCCCCCTCCCCGGCCCTCCCTGACAGTGACCAGGGGAGGCATGCCGGTGGTCGAGATGGGACCCGATGTGACCCGACATTGCCCCAGTCCCACCGGGAGGTGAGAGAGAGGGGGAGAGAGAGAGAGAGAGAGAGAGAGAGAGAGAGAGAGAGGGAGAGGGAGAGGGAGAGAGAGAGTGAGAGGGAGGGGAAGAGGGGGTGAGAGAGAGTGAGAGTGGGAGTGAGAGAGAGAGGGGGAGAGTGAGAGAGAGAGAGAGAGAGAGAGAGAGAGAGAGAGAGAGAGAGAGAGAGGGAAGGAGGGAGAGAGAGTGAGAGAGAGAGCGAGAGAGCGAGAGAGAGGAGAAAATATGTGTAGAGATGATGCATTTAGATGTCAAACTTACGATGCTGCTGTTAGTAATTTGTGTTTGTAATTAGTCCCAGGAGAGTTAGAAATGAATTTTCCAATGCGCATGTTTTGGACCACGGAAGGCTTTGCTAAGAATGCCAGGAAATGTAAATATTGCCGCATTGTTTGGTAGGGCCTGGCACCACCGTGCCAAATCCACACGTTTGCAACTAAGTTGGTAGTGGCGTAGTTCCACAAAGCATGGCTGCCCATATATTGGCGGAGCCATTTGCAAGTGAAATATTGCTCCGGGCTGCATAATGAATAGGCGGTGAGGTTTTAAAGTGAATCGGATACAGCTGCAGTTGGTAAATTAGCTGCTGTGAGTCGCACCTAAACCGGATCAGGATATGATTCATGTAGCTGGCTTCACCTCTTGAAGCCGGGTGCGCTACGCAAATTTTATTTTGCGCACGAGTAAAGGGATATTCCCGTTTGTTGTATTCTTCAAATATTCATGAATGATGTATAGTAGTGGCTATAGAATGACCGGCATACAAATGCATACCTCCAGTGAGTCTTCCCCAAATACCACCCTGACCACATGATGTTTAGCCCTCACATTTCAGTTTTCACCCTAACCTCCCCCTCCCTCCACAGGTTTCCGATAATGCGTCACTGCGACAAGTATCTGGAGTGTGTGTTCAGCTCGGGTTACCTCCGCTCGTGTGCGCCGGGCACCCAGTTCGACTCGGTATCCGCCCAGTGCACCTTCCCTTATAAGGCGAGGTGTGCCGACGACTTTGAGCTCTATGATGGTGAGTGGAACAGCGGAAAATATTTTACCAGTATCGGGGTGAATGTGTAGATGTTTAGCATAGTGGTTTTGGTATTGTGATAATAATTATTTGCAAATTAGAAGCCGGCCGAAAGGTATTGGTAACGATGATATTTTCTTGCTAGCCTACCTGTGGTGGATAGTTATGTTGTCTGGTAGGTATGTATGTTTTTATTATGATAATTTTGTGTGCTAAGTAATCCTTTGTGTTTGTAAGCTAAGTAACCTTGTCATATTGCGCCGCGATCTCTCCCCCCCCCCCACTCCCCTGACCTAACCTGACCCGCCTCCCCTGTGTCTGTACCAGGTCCCGACGACCTGGCGGCCGCGGCCTCCACCCTGCCCCCTCTCACCCCGTCCGTAATGGAGACACCCACGGCGCAGCTGCGAGCGGACGGCTCCGTGTCCACAGAGTGTCCCCGGCCGGCCGGCATGTTCGCTATACCCAACAGGTGGGTTTGTGCGGATAGGGGATAGGGGATATTAGGGGTAGGGGATAGTAGGGATAGTTGGGATAGTAGGATAGGGGATAGGGACTAGGGATAGGGGATAAGGGATAGTAGGGATAGAAGGGATAGTAGGGATAGTAGGGATAAGGATAGAAGGGATAGAAGGATAGTAGGTACTAGGGATAGGGGATAGAAGGATAGTAGGGATAATAGGATATAGATAGTAGGATAGGGGATTGGGGATAAGGGATAGGGGATGTAGCACTTCATGTTGCGT